TTCTTTTGTGATTCACCAGTTTTAAACACTTTTGTTATAAAACATCTTTTAACTTAGTTAGTGACAGGATTCTGTGAAATTTGTTTATTTGTATCTTGTTAAAACCTAAGAATTAAAAATGTCCTTATAAGCTGAACAAACTGATGATATGGCTGTCTTTTAGTGAAGATCTGCTTTTGATACACAGTCCAGTCACATTAATGTGACCACCACGTACTTTCCATGTCAGAGTTAAATAACCAATCACAGAAGGCAGGTGGCAGCACAGTGCAGTTGAGCGTATATAAAGGGTGTGTGAGGGCTTCGGAAAAAATTTCAGTCGTTGGCGTAATGCAGAAACGAAGCGATTTATCCAACTTCCAAAAGGGCATGATCATTGGCTTTCGGGCCAAGGGTGGAAGCATTTCCGAAACGGCTGAGTTTGTGAACTGTTTGCGTGCCGCCGTGGTAAAAGTGTACCGTGCATGGCAAAATGGGACTGTCCAAAATCAGCGACGTGGCAAATGTGGTGCACCACGGGCCATAGATGACAGAGGCGAACGACGGTTGCGGAGATGCGTTCGGGCAGATAGACGGGCTACCATTGAGCAACTGACCACCAAAATGAACCAAGGGGCTACCAAAAGTGTCTCCCAAAGTACTATTCAGCGAACATTGCTGCGTCTGGGCCTCCGAAGCAGACGCCTGGTTCGTGCACCTATGCTGAGTGCTGTTCATCGACGGCGAAGGCTAGAATTTGCACGCCAGTACAGCAGCTGGACGTCCACTGAGTGGCGACAGGTTGCGTTTTCGGATGAATCGCGTTTTATGCTCCATCGGACAGATGGACGTTGGCGTATAAGGCGTGAAACCTCTGAAAGGAACCACCCTGCAACCATTGCCGGAACGGTCCAAGCTGGAGGCGGGAGCATTATGGTCTGGGGAATGTTTTCCTGGCATTCTCTAGGTTCACTGATCATTGTGGAAGGCACAATGGATCAATACAAGTACGCATCTGTCCTTGCGGACCATGTTCACCCCTATATGCGCATTGTTTTTCCTCAGGATGATGGCATCTTCCAGCAGGACAATGCGAGGTGCCATACAGCTGCCAGTGTACATGCGTGGTTTGAAGAGCACCAGGATGAGTTTACCGTCCTTCCCTGGCCAGCAAACTCACCTGACTTAAACCCAATCGAGCATCTGTGGGACCACCTCGATCGAGTTGTTCGCGCCATGGATCCTCAACTGCGTAATCTAGCGCAGCTGGCCACAGCATTAGAGTCGGCATGGCTCAACATCCCAGAGAACACCTTCAGGGACCTATGTGACTCTCTTCCTGCACGTCTCGCAGCAGTCCGCTCTGCGAAAGGTGGTTATTCTGGCTTTTGACAGATGGTCACATTAATGTGACTGGACTGTGTATTATTTGAACAGTGTCATCAAGCTTTGACAATGATCTTTTACTTTCAGTCTTTGTGTGAACAATCCATTTTTCATCAACAGTTTTTAGTTGTTTCAAGAATAAATCATTTTGGTAGCATTTCAAAAGCAAGTCAGATATATTAACATGTTTGAATTTAAAGTAAAATAATGCACTGAACAGATATTAATTTAGAAGTCAAATAACAAAAATCAGTATTTTATTTTCAAATTTTTTCAGGCCTAGTTTTGATGGTTTTACCGAACCATCATGCTCAAACTTTGGCAGCTGAGCTTTATTAACTTTAAAGTTAACTTTGGCATGTTAATATGGTATTAACTTGCCATTGTAATAATGTTTTAGTACTAAATTTTCAGAATGTAACAAGACATGTTTATTGATTAATTTACAAATCAATAAGACATATAATATTATAATAATAAAAAAATTAATGAATATTTGTACACTGAAGAGCCAAATATTTTGACCACTTTCTCAGTAATGCATTGCACGACCTTTGCCTGCAGTGGTCTTGGCAGAAGACTGGAGATAGGGTGTACCAAATGTCTAAGCCAGTGATTGCCAAACCGTCGATCACAAGCTACTAGTAGCCTGCGGGGACATTTTCGGTGGATTGCGTTAATGCTTCATTTGGCTAACCTTGATTCCTCCACTGAGCTGATGCTGAAAACAGAATGAGCTGGACAGCAACTGCATGTTTTTCCTGCACAACTGCCATTGTCAGTCTCGTAGTTATTTGTATATGCGTGAGGTTGTGCATGTTATGTTTTTCGTGTGTATATTAGACATTTGCTAATTTGAATAGTTTGATTTACGTACTGGTGATAAGCTAGGTCTGTTCTAATAATAGCATGTTAAAGCAAATAGCAAAGAACTAATCAGTTTCATTAAGAACGGGAAACCGATTACTTTATCCAAATAAAGGACAAATGTGTGTGTTTACTGTGCTATGCAAGTGTATCAGTTGGAAAGAAAGGGTCAATATGTTGCCTCATTCTCATAAAAGCTAGAACTGTGGGGGAAAAATATCATCCAGGGTGAATACGAACACTAAGCCTCTTTGAAACAAACCCTTGACAAGCAAGGGTCTTCCTTGCCTCCTCACAACAGCAAATAATACACTGAAATTATTTCAGATTTGAGAAGTGAATGCAATAAATGCTTTCAAGATTTTAAAAGGATTTCAACCATTGCACAGTTTCTCAAATCCCCTTTCGTAGAAATTGATACTGAAAAGTTTTCTACTTGTGTCATGGAGCATTTTGATTTTCAAAAAGACAATGCTGCAAAAGAGTTGGAACTGATTGATTTTCAAAATGATTTATCTATAAAATCACTTTCCTCAAGCCCTGAAAATAATTGGTCTCTTATTCCTAAAGGAAAATGCTAAATTTTTGTCCAGGTTTGTCTCAAAATTGAAGTCAATGTTCAGATCTATTTATATGTGTGAGATTTTTATTTCCAGCAAGAAATTTATTAAAAATAAGTACATAAACAGACTCACTGATGAACACTTTTTTTTGACAGCTGTATTCGAATAGGAATTTCTACCCACTCTCCTCCCAACATTAAAAATCTTATTGATGACTAGGGGGGAAAAAAAAAACGAGTTCCATCCTTCTCTTTAAAGTTAATAAGTCTTAAAAAAATCTGTTATTACATTTGGTATTTATTACTAATTACACAGGTTTATATATATTTACTAGAAATGTAAGTTTATAGGCAATAAACAAATGTAAGATTTTTTAAAAAAATTGTTACTTCTTTTGGTTGGTAGCAATTTTTTTAAAAAAAATTGGTACTTCTTTTGGTTGGTAGCATTTGAAGACGGTACAGTAGTTCAGAAGCTTCAACACGTTTGGTGGCCAATGGTCTAAGCAGTGGTCGTGCAAAGTTGAGATATTCCGACAGGGTGGTGTTTGAGCTCTGAGCAACTACACCATAACATCCCAAATGTGTTCAACCTGTCAAATGTTGTGTCGTCCATCCAACCATTTTTCTGGACACAAACAAGAACACCTGACGTATATGCTGCCTTTTTTATGACATTTTTCGCATAATCATGGGAGGTAACTTATTGCCATTTGCTAACAGGTAAAAACTACTGTGAAACGAGTTATCTCATGACCAGTTGTTTTTACAGGAATAGTTTTTTCACCCTTTCTTATCAACAATGAAATTTTCAGGGAGATCAGAAGTCATGGGGGTTTCATCCCTGTTTGCTGTTTGGGATATTTAAAAATTAGTTATTTTTCTTTTTTCAATCACATACTTTTGGAAGTTGATTGATTTCTCTTTAAGGTTGCAATTCCTGTGAAATTTTGGTACAATGGTGTAAACATCATCCATAATGATTTGTAAATCTCATGCACCAGTGTTGTGATGCACGAAGAGAGTTATTTACAGGAGCAAATTTTTCACCTTTTGTGATTTTCATGTTTGCAAACGTATTACAGTTTGGGTTACTGTGGTTTCTTGTGGTCTGTTGTTTAGAATCCAGTCACTTAATACTTTTTCCAGTTCTGGGAAAGATGCCGATCCATAACGCAGGCCTTTTTAGATGTATGTTCTTTAAAATAGACAAGTTTTTTCTCCAGTCACCCATTATCCTCCCATTCATGCCGAACTTGTGTGATGCAACACAGTTATTCATACTTTCCACAAATGAAGCTACTTTCAGCTTGAATTTCACTGTGTAAGACATTCTCTTTTATTTTACACAACTCATTGCAGGGAGTGTGTGGCTCTGTAAAGGGCCATTTTTTTTTTGGTAGATTCCACTGAATCAGACGTTACAAAAAACAGAAAAGGTAAAAAAAAAGCATGTGTATGATCAAGATAAATAAGATGTAATCAGGGACTTATTTGGTATGGTTACAGTTACTGATTGAATATGGTGATGTTAACTAAAGAGCGGCAGACAGATATTGTATGGATTGAATTGCGTTGTGACTTTAGATGATGAAATGAAATGGGGGAAAAACTAATAAAAATATGAGTAAACTAAACAAATTTTTTTCTGTATTAACAATATATTTAATAATCAAGTTCAATGGCGGTTGTACTGCCACGAATCCTCTTTTTTTTTTTTTTTTTTTTTTTTTTTTTAGGTTCTGCATATATGTTGACCCTCTATTTAAGTTTCATTTTTTCCCCTTAAATTTTTTACTTATACATGGGGATATGTAGTAAGTATACTAGAAGTCACTACTGTGCATATAAATGCATGGCTGTGAACTGATAGATTTATAAAAAAGAATTATTTTTTAGTATTTTAGAAAGTTAACTGAATGCAAAACGTTTTGTGATATTTTTTAATTAATCAATCCTTTTTTTACCCAGTAGCAGCTGTGTTGTAAACTTGTGCTCTATGAAAATAAATAAAAATTTTCTGGATCTCAGAGATTTGAAATGCACTTTATTTCGAAGTTCGTGAATAATTGATATGCTTTTAACTATTTAATTACAATATTTTATAGAAAGTCTGTTTTATTATTGTTATAAGTGAATGGATACGACCAGTTAATAGAGTATACATAGATTTATTTGGCTTGACTGAAGTTTTTCTTTCTTTCAGCTCTTTCTGCATATCAAAAGTTTTATTGTTTGAACGATGATCATTGGAAGGTAAATATTTTTATTACAAGCAATATAATATCTGTTTTTAACTTAAATTATTTCAAAGTATAATATATGATATTGATATATGATTGATTTATTGCATGTGTGTTTTATGCATTGTGTATACATTTTATGCTTATTGCTCTATATATATTTATATAGTACATTATAGTTAATGAAACTGGCATTGCACCTGTTTCTTTTGGCAGTTAACATGAAACATCAAGCCAGGACAATAGTCCTTCCTGATATATAAAAAATGTAATAGATAAAGGAGCTTTAAATGTCATTCAAAACTATAAAGGCCATAAAAGTAATTACTTTAAGTAAGATTAATAATTTTTAGTTGAGCTGACTGAAGTCTGATCTGAATTGAAGTAACTAACAATTATGTAATGTTACAGGTTATACATGAAAGAAATATTATTTGCGAAACAGAGTATACAATTTTATGTTGTTCTGAACATTTCAAGATAAAAGCAGAAAACTGAAATTTAGGATGTGTCATTGTCTATATTAACATTGCAAAATGTAAGCAGTGAAATATAAAGCAAATATTTTTTAATAAAAGAATATGAGATGCCATCCTTCAAGTATACACACTGTATGGTATTTAAGTCATTCTCTTCACATTTAGTAATTAATTGCCTGATGTCATTTTATGTTTGTGCATATATTTCTCATTTCAGAAAGTTTATAGAGATATTATTATAAACTTGCAATATTTGAATTTGGCTCTAAGAGAATGATAACCATAGGCTCCCAGTGGTCCCCAAAACTGTGGTGAAACTGTGAATGCCAAGATACCCTCAGATAACAGAGAAAAGCTTGGAGAATTATTCAAAGCTACTCCACGTTGTTAAACCTTATAGCCTCCAGAAAAGCAAAAGAAAATTCAAGAACAGTAAAATGAAAGAGCCAGAGGGATTCGTGTATATATCAAGTGTCATCAATAACATCCTCCACACAAAGTAGACGAGTGTGGGCGAGAGTTAGGAAAAGATGCGAAATGTATAATGATCATACACTTTCTGTTTTGGAAAAAGATGGGTTAGTAATTAGCACCACAGAAGAAAGTGCAAACATTAGTGAAGACATCTTTGCTGCATTTTCAGGTGGCAGCAACTCTCTCAGGTTATGCTTCGAGAAATGTTCCAGTGCTTTCAATTTGTCTAATTGGGAGCCACATAATGGTGGTTTTACAATGTATGAACTAAAGAGAGCTTTGTTAGAGACAACTAGGCCCAGGTGATATTACTTATGAAATGCAGAAGCATATCTCTTGTAAGTTGTTAGCTGCCCTTCGTGCTCTTTAAAATCGAATGTGGAAGCACATTTTCCGTACTGCTTGATAGACAGCTGTTGTTATTCCCATAGCTAAGCCAAGAAACGATAGCGTAATCTCACCATATCAGAATGGTTTCTGTTAAGGTAGATCAACTATCAATAATTTTTTCCTGTTCGAAACTTGAATCTGTAAAGCTCTCTCAAAAGAAACCAGCTTGTTTCTGTTTTCTTTGACATGGCGAAAGCTTATGTTAAGGCATAGAGATGTGACATTTTTCATGGTTTTTACACATATACGAGAAATATACGGAAATATGTAGCTTGCATAGCTACCTACCTGTTTTCAATCAGAATTTTTTGAGGGCTAGAACTTTTCATGTGAGGACTGGCTCTGTTTTCTCAGATGTGTTCATACACGAAGAAAGTATTTTAAATGTTACATTGTGTAGTTTAAAAATTAATACCATTTTAAAGGAACTTCCTCCTACTGTCTCCAGATCATTAAATGTTGATGACCTCCAAAGAAGTTGTCTTGATGGACACAGACGCATATCAGACATGTGGACCTGTGCTTCAACTTCAAGGGTCATTGATTCCTGTTGTACCCAAAGCCAAGATTTTAGGAGTGATGCTTGATCGAAAGCTGACATTCATTCTGCCTTATTCTTAGTTGAAGAAGTGTGTCGGAATACTAAATATTTTAAAAGTTTAGGCAAATACCTCCTAAAGTGCTGATCGGGACTCAATGTTTTGCATTTACAGAGCGCTTATGCACTCTAATCTAGAATATAGTTCAGCTGTCTGTGGATTGGTATGGTCTCCAGTTTTATTAAAATTAGATTTATGAATAAACCTAATGATGTTTTGTGAAAAAAGGAGTTTTCTGCTGCTGGAGGGATGGCAAAACGTCTTAGAACAAAATAGTGCTTAAGTGATTCAATGACATTTTGAATGAGTGATTCAGTGAAATATCAGTTGACTTCTTTATTTGTATTTATCATAAAAAAATTGCAGAATTTTTCAGATGACCTGATACTTTTGGCACAAGTTGATGGTAACCTGAAAATTGTATGTCACAGACAGCAGATTTCATGACATAAAATCGATGTATATGCTCATTGTCTAAGCATCTGCTTTTTGGACTTTTTTTAATTGAAGGAGCTAATTTGAAACATTAATTTGTAAATTAAGTATCACTAGTTTTAAAGCTGCTGTGAACAATTTCTATATAATTTGAAATATTTCTATATAATATGGTTTTAAATTCTTATTTGTATGTCTAATGATTTTATATCTTTTGTATATTTTAGAATTCTGCATTCATGTATGGCTTAGGATTGGTGTACTTTCATTACAATGCTTATCACTGGTAAGTGTTATTTTCACCATTTAATTGACAGCCAAGTAAGATCTATTTTCTCTCTCTGTCTCTCCTCCCCCTTTTTCCAAAATGCGTGTATTTATCCATTTCCTTTCTTAAAAAAAAAAAAAAAAAAAAAAGTAGTATAACTCTGTGGTATGAAATTAATGTTAAGCAAGCTTTCAACCTGACAGCTAGTATACAGAGTTAACCTAGTGACAAGTTATCATCCTTAACCAGTATTTAATTGTCAACACAAAACCCAAGTCAAGTTAAATCCATGTAAAATTTATTAAAGCACTACTGAAGATTTGTAACTGATCTTATGATGCATACTGAAAACAATCATTAGTTTTATAAAAGTGTTGCGAAGTTGAGGCAGTTTACCCTGTACCTGGCAAGTTCAGAGATATTTTTTTTCGGGGAAGGGATTTCAAATTCTAAGCAAAACACATGGTCAGTGTATATTTCAGCTAGACCTTTAAATTACTTACCAGCTGTTCAACTACTTATCTCTGTTGGGCATTCAACTGATGCAGCAGGAACTAGTGCTCAGCAACACACTAATAAATGCTTTAATAATTAAAATACCCATTGCATGTGTTCAACAGTTAATTGTTGAACACATGCAATGGGTATTTTTGACCTGATGTTTTCTATTGTTAGCAGAAATTTTAGGAATTTTTCAAAACTTGCATGTGTCACTTCTGATACGTGATTGGGTAGTCTAGTAAGAGGCATTCCTAGGAACAGAAACTTTAAAAACAAGTTTTTCTGTATAGTGTAGTGGACCTGGTTCAAGTACTTGGTCAGTATGTATGCTAATGCTCCACAGTCATTTTATATTATGAATCTGACTTTGTATGAACAGAAGCAGCAAAGGCTGTAAGATCTCACAAATATTTCCACAAACATGGAAATTGATGCCATACACAGTCATCAAATGAGAAAAGAATTTGATAGATTAGCCCCAATAAGAAACATTTTTCAAAAAATAGTTTATAATTTTCAAAAGTTGTATTTCTGAGTATTGTATTATTGATGAAACTAGAACTATTTTTGGAAGAGGCCAGTTTTGCCAATGCATCAAGAGCAAACCAGCAAAATACAGTGTAGAAATTTTGCACTGTGTAATTTTTATATTACCTAAAAAGTCAACAATGAATCCAACCACTTGTCACAATGAAATTATTTGAAGGAACTTGCTGTTGACTTAGTAAAGGAACACCTTGATAGATCAGAGAACACGAATGTACCACAGAGTATTAGAACTAACTCGAAAAGGATTTAAATGTGCTAGATGACTGATTGCGAAATTTTCAAAGAAATCTAATCAAAAAGTTTTTCTATTTGTGAAAAATGGGGGGGGGACATCATTGAGCATAACCTGTTTATTCATTATAAGCTGGAATTTTTTAATGAAAGAAAAAGTGATTAAAAATTATTTCAGTGATTAACCAAGAAAATTAATTAAATGTTTCGATTGAATATGAATGCTTAGTAGTAAAAGTTTAAGCCTTTTTCACTCAAAATTTTCCCATGCAAACATGATTCAAAATATTAATTTTATTGTTATTTAAGCACTTCCCTGCAAGAAAAGTATCATTAATTGTATGTACTAAATGTTAAAAATCAAAGATAAATTAAAATGGGTACAAAATCAAAGATAAATTAAAATCAAAATTTTTTTCTTAGAAAATTGACTTTTATAATCAATAATACATACTGATGCTTAAAAAGTTGTTTAAATAATATGTTGAAATAGAATTTTTTTTAAATGCCTATATCTTAATGAGAAGCTAGCGTTAAAATTAGGGTCAGTATGTTTTTCAAAGCTCACCATTACAAAAATGTCAGTAACATTTAAATTCACATTTTATATGCATGGCAGTAACAAAGTTTAAGAAAATATATGCAAAAACAATAGCTACAGCCTTTATTTTCTAGAAATGAATACTGGAGAAAAAATGCAAAAATTGTAAGTTTTGTTCAGAAGCGTTGATCTTTAATTGTTATTAGCAATTTCGTTGTAGAGTCTATCAATGTCCACAGGAAGTTGTTTGCCCAGTTCGTTCAGGTGGCGGGCGATTGGATGGATGGAAATGGGAATGCCATAAGCTGATGTTGCTAGATGTCTCAATGTCTCTTGTAGTGTGGTACACCGACTAGAGAATCAGTTTGAAACCAAGGATTCTGTGTCTAGAAGACATGTTCCAGGCAGACCTAGAGTTACAGCACCAGTGGGAAACTGTTATTTAACTCTTTTCAGCTCAAAGGAGGAGTAACAATACTGTGCCTCATCTCATGGCAGCTCATTTAGTGGCAACAACAACAACATGAATCTCAGCTACTACAGTGTGCAGACGCCTGCACGATATAGGTTTGTTTGAAAGACAACCAGTTGTTTGTGTCCCCTTGACGCGAGGACCCAGAGGTGCTCGTGTATGTTGGGCAAGAGAACAAACATGTCTGGACCAGTCAACAATGGGCATCTGTTCTCATCACAAGACGAGTCCAGGTTCATGTTGGAGAGTGATTCAGGTCATCAGCTGATCTGGAGAAAACAACGCACCAGATACAACTAATCCCACATTGTGCAAAGACACACTTACAGAGGCAGTAGAATAATGGTTTGGGCTGGGATCTCTCACACTTACAGAGGCAAATAATGGTTTGGGCTGGGATCTCCCTTGGTTGTCACACTGACCTGCATCTGTTTCATGGAGGAACTTTGACCAGTGTGAGATACTGAGACAAGATCCTTGATCAATATTGTCCGCCCGTATGCTGCTGCTATTGATCCTGGATTTCTTCTGATGGACGACAATGTGCGACCTCACTGAACTCGGGTTGCTGAAAGAATATCTTGAGGGTCATGGTATGGAGTAGATGGAATGGCCAGCTCATTCTCCAGACCTGAATCCAATAGAGCATCTTTGGGACTGCCTTGGGAGACAGTTTGCTGTTTTAAGCCCTCCTCTAAGGTTGTTAGATGAGATTGAAAAAGGATGACTCTGTGTCTGGTCGTTGCTTTCCATTTCACTGGCCAACAACTTAATTGACAGCATGTAATGTCGCTGCTGCAATGTATTGCAGCTAGGGGTGGACATGTTCCTTATTAGAACCCATTTTTGTAATGTTACCACCCCATTTTTCCTCAACAAACTGTTATATATTGTTTCTGCAAGACCAGATTTCTCTGCCAAGAGTTCTGTTTTTTGTTGTAATTCATGTTTGTGTTGAACTTTCTATGTCTCGTTCATTAAAGAACTGTTTAGTGGATATGTCCTCTAAATTTCTGGTTTCTGTGTTGTTTCATTCTCAAATTAGACACAAAAAGCAAGTTGTTTATAACTTTCGGAGGGCAGTGTGTAATGTAGCATGAAATCAAAGAATATGAAGGGGAGAAGAAGGCAAGCTCTCATAGACATAAAGTAAACCAGCCTGACTAGCCTCAGGCGACTTTCGAATCGAAGCCAGCCATGTGGTGAAGCAAATGTGCGGGGTTCTGGCGAAATTCCCTCTGCTTGAAATTTTAGTGAAGTACAAAGCATAAATCTGTTATTTGAGAATTAGGTTTTTCTGTTATTTATACTTAAAATCTTTATTCTGGAATATATTTTTGTGTACGATTTTTTTATTTTACAAGGAAAGTGTTACAAAATTTACAATTAATCATTTTCACACTGAAATATTAAATAAATTTGTACTATTATATTAATATTTGTAATGTAAAATTATATTAAATGTCTATGGTGATATATTTCCATAAATAAACTCATAGACGTAATATTTATTATTACTAAAATAATTTTAAAAAATCACGCAACGTAGCCCTAAGTAACCCTTTGCAGTGGCCACCCTCCCAAATAGTGACCGCATATTTAACTGCTTGGTTTTAGATGAAGGGCGAAGGAACTGATTCTTACCTCTCAGTTGATGGAGGGTTAGAAATGTAAACTAAGTCATAGGTAGAATTGCAGCAAGTTGTTAATAAAAAATATTAGGATAATTTAGTGCTTCCGGAGATGTTTTTGAGCTCCTTCATTGTGCAAAAGAATACAAAAACATTTTTATTGGGATTAGTGTTTTAATTGTTTTGGAGTAAGATTTAGGTTTTGAGCTAAGTGTTAATTTGGAATTGCTTCTGTTAGATGTTATTTTGTATTTTTCAGAGGAGGTTTTTAGGCTAGTCCATTTTGTGGCTAGCATCATTATTATGTTAAAATTTGAGAGATTTGATGAAGTTTGTTTTTCAGAAATTTTGGGCAGCCATTGGTTTTTAAAAGTAAGGCAGATAATCTGCATTCCATAGGAAAACTTCATATTAAGATATTTTTAAATGTTCCTGATTTCTTTAATAATCTGGGTTATAATTTTAAAATAAAATGTTTCAATGAGAGTTTTCAATTAAATTACTCATTACATACAATTTTTTTATTACCTTCGTATGTCATGAAATGAATTTTTAAAGAAATTAAAGTTGGGAACTTAAACATATTTCTAAGCTTAAAAAGAAATAAAAATTATAAGACTTAGGTAAAGAAATGGCTTTGTAAACCATTCAATATAGCGCTCTGACAGGTTCTTAGATATTGCTGGAGGTTTGGGATCACAGTCGTGGATGAATTTCAGGGTCTGTCTTTATGCCTGTAAAGTTTGTCGATGCCTTACACATTTTAGATTTAATTTTTCTCTGGCGGTGAAGCTTTAATTCTTCTCCCAATTCAAATTCTTTGCATGAAATGACTGGAGGAAGCAAAGCTATGCCGGAAAAATAAAATTACAAGGCAGGTCCATTTACCAGCTTTGCGGTGTCTCGCTAATTAATTGTGTCACTAAAAGTTGCCATACTTGGCGATCATTTGGCGACATTTTGGTTTTGGTCCCTATATATCTGTAATTGGCCCAAATTCCTATGTAACTCTGTATGCCTTGGAAACTCTGTATGCCTCTGTATGCCTCTGTAGAAATGGAGGGTACCTGAAATTTCTCGGCAACTGAAGGAA